CCAGCTCAATGTCACCTGTGAGTGTGGGGCAAGGATGCCCAATTCCCCGAAGGGGTGAGGGGCAGGAAGGTCAGTTTGGGGAGCCTCTAGTTTTACTGGAAGGTCTGTCTGAGTGTGGGACCTAGAAGGACTCAAGCCCTGTCCCTCCTGTGTTTCTGTGGTTTCTGGGGGTGAGGAGAAGATACCTACATGTATCTCACACGCCCCCACCTCACTGAAGAGGGAAATGCCCTCTTCCCATCCCAGGTGCCGCACAGAACCCAACAACTGGTGTCTGCCTGGAACACAGCCCAGGTAGGAAGGAGCCTCCTCCCTGGGTATAGAGAGTGGGGTTTTTCAAACCTCAGCACAGAGTCGTGTCCCTTCCACTTTCTGCACTCATGGAGATGGCCTAGACCCCCTGTGGGTGAAGCCAGTGTTTCCTCTCCCTCCCCAGGCACCGTGGCCCTGTGAGCTGCTGTCCCCATCGACTCCCCTCTTCTCTTCTGCCACCTCCCCACCCCATCATCGGGAGAAGGGAGAACAGGGCAACGTGAACCCAGCAGATCCGCCCCTTATCATGCATCTCCTGATGACTCCTCCTGTCGCATCTTTTATTCTCCCCAACAGCTGCTTTTTTAAGTACTTCCGACACGTAATATATTCACACGGACAAACATCCAAAATGTACAGGAGATTCTGTCCTTAGACATACAATTTCCTCCTGGGAAGTAGCCAGTGTCCATGGGCTGCTCTGAGTCTTAGTGTGTTTGCGATGCGGGGCTCAATCCCAGGACCCTGAGATCATGACCTGAGCTTAGGGCAGAGACTTTAACCCACTAAGCACCCAGGCATCCCAGTGTGTCTTCTCTTAATGGAAAATCATGGCATTCATTTTCTTCTACCAACAGAAACACTGCAACACTGTACTCCATACTCTTGCATCTCATTTCTTGTACGCGTGCCCGTGTGTGTGTGTGTGTGTGTGTGTGTGTGTGTGTGTGTGTGTATCTATGGGGTACATTCTTTTTTTTAAAGATTTTATTTATTTATTTGACAGACAGAGATCACAAGTAGGCAGAGAGGCAGGCAGAGAGAGAGGAGGAAGCAGGCTCCCTGCTGAGCAGAGAGCCCGATGCGAGGCTCGATCCCAGGACCCTGGGATCATGACCAGAGCCGAAGGCAGAGGCCTTAACCCACTGAGCCACCCAGGTGCCCCTATGGGCTACATTCTTAAAACCAAAATAGCTCAATCATAGGTTCTTTGTCTTTGTCTCTTGAGAGACAGGGCAAAGTTTTCTCCACGGAGGGTGGACGAGTTTATTTTCCCAATAGCCAGGGTCAAAACCTATGTTTTCACCAACCCTCCATGGGGTGAATGTTCTGATCTTTGCCAGTACCAGGTGGAAACTGTTATACAGTATTTTTTATATATATGCAGTATTGTGTCCTTGAGGAAAAATTCACCTGTAAGAAAACGTGCTATTTTGGCCATTTCGAAGTGTACAATAGGTGGTTCTGGGGACGTTCAAAGTGTTGTAGGACCATCACTACTACCTGACTCCACCCACCCCCCCACTGCATTGTTATCATCCCTAATGGGAAACCCCCTGCCTCTTAGACAGTCATTCCCTACTCCTCCTCCTCCTGACCCCCTGCAACCAGGAACCTGCCTTCTGTGTCTGCGGATTTGCCCACTGGGAACATGTCAACTAAACGAAATCCCACAAACCATGGACTCTTGTGTCTGACTTTCATTTTACCAAACATTTTCAAGGATCATCCATAGAGCTTGTATGAGTACTAATTCTTTTTTGTCTGGATACTATTCTATTGCATGGATGTCCCATGTTCTATCCAACCACTGATCAGGCGATGGACATGTGGGTGGTTTCTGTTTGGGGCTATGATAATGCTAAGAACACTGGAGGACACGTTTTTGTTTGAACACTCTCTTAAGTTTTCTCGAGCATATGTCCAGGAGTGGAAATGCGGGGTCCAAGGGTAGTTTCTGTGTTTTAAGGTTTTGAGGATAATGCCAGACTGTTTCCCACAGTGGCAGCACCGTTTTTCACCCCCACCACAAGTGTGTGAGGGTTCCCTTTTCTACACACTCTTCCCAACATTGTTGTTTTCCTTTTCAAAATAATTATAGAATACTTGTGGGTGTGAGGGACTGTCCCAGTGTGGTCTGATTTGCATTTTGTAATGACTAATGTCATTCGTTTTTACATGGACATTTTTATCATTGGCATATCTTCTCTGGAGAAACTTTTGAAGTCCTTTGTCCATTTTTGAAGTGGGTTGGTTGCCTTTTTGTAGTTGAGTAAGTGTTCCTTATATGTGCTACACACTACACCTTTATCAGATCTGTGATTGGCTAGTATTTCCTCCCAATACGTAGGTTGCCTTCTTACATTCTCAATAGGATCAAGTGAACAAGACGATTCACTTTGATGAAGTCCAGCTTTTGCGTATTTGTCCAGTCCTCCTGCTGGAAGGGCAGTGTATGAGGTGGGGTGAGCCCCAGAAACAGACGGTCCCACATCCAGTGATGCAGGAAGGCTTGGAGAACCAACGGCCAGAGTCGTGCTGGAGTGAAGGACACAGGGCCGCGTTCAAGCCCATGAATCTGTCCTCGTCCCATGTCCCTACAGTAAAATCAGAGCCCATGGCAGAGTTGGTTCTGGTGGCCATTGCAGAAGCAGCTGTCAAGACCCTGTTTCTCCTGCTCTGTCTCGTCATCCTCATGTGAGCACTGCCCCAGGGGAAGGGGAGAGGTAGGGAGGGCGGGGGCGTGTGGCTGAATCCCAGAAGGGTGCAGGAGGAACTGAACAGGCTGAGGTTGGGGCAGGAAGGAGGATTCCACTGAGTGTCCGTGAGGGGATGTCCCTGCTCAGCTCAAGGTAATCTGTGGGACAAGACATGCCCTCTCTTACCTCAGTCACCTCTCCAAACGCTTAACTGGCAACACGGGTGAATCAGTTCACCCTGCACCCCCATGATTAGACTGAAAGACCCTGATCTCTTCCCTCAGAGTGAGGTTCCTCAGGAAGGAGACAGCCAGGCCTGCAGGGGGCCTGGAGGAGGCAAAGCCCACCCCCAGTTAATCCCTCAGGTGAGTGACGTGGGCAGCTCACCACCCAACATCCCACCAACACCTGCTCCAGGATGGCCCCAGCCTTGCTCCACTCAGCATGGCCAGAATTGAGCTGCCACATTCCTCCCAAAGCCACTTCTCTACGGGGTTTCCCTCACATGGTTGACAGGGCTCTCCTCTCTAAGGCCAGAACTGGGGTGTGGTTCTCCACTGTGACCTCCCTCCCTTCTGCCTGACCCATACATCACTCAGTTTTGCCCATCCTTCCTCCTAGGCTCATCCTGCTGCCAGTCTCCGCCCCATCCTGACCTTACTTGCACCTGTGGCCTCCTTTCTTCCCCAGACTTCTGACCCACCTGCCTCCAGCCTCCCTCTCTCTCCTCAGCACATTGAGTCTTGGGAGACCATTATCATCCACCTCCTCCACAGCATGAAGAGCTATGGATCCTCTCCAGGGCCAAGACCAAGGCTGGGTTTGAAGGCCTGGCATGGTCCGCTCCCCACTGGACCCTCCACCGGGATCTCTACCTCTCCCTGCGTCTTGCAACATCTCCACAACAAGCTGGGCCAAGGTTTTGCATGTGCCCTTCCTTCTCCTGAAGTGCCCTTTCCTCCCCAACCCTGCATCTCCAAGTCCTAATCATCTTCAGGCTCAGTCTTAAAAGCCAACTAGCCCCGTGTGTGTGTGTGACTCACACGATTTTGAATCAAGTCGTATTCAGTTAAGAATAGACTCCTTCAGCAAGTACTACTGAACACCTACTATGTGCCACCTTGTTTTGGTTTCGGGTGCATCAGTGAACACAACAAAATCTCTGTCATCAAGAACTGTCATTCTGGAGACAAGAAATCAAAAGAAATAAATAAGAAATAATATTAGATCACTTTGGGTAGAATATGTGTTTGCAGAAAAGTCATGCAGACTGAGCGCACATGGCATATTGGGGACCATGTTCTGGAACTAAGAGCTGAGGAGGTGACATTTGAGCAAAGCCTTGAAGTCAGGTGACAGAGTAGGTTCTGTATTTTCCTGAGAGAAAATTATCCCAAGAAATGGACAATGGGGAAAGGTGAGTGAAGTCACTCTGAGACAGGAAGAGGGCTGGTGTGGAAACAAGAGGATGGGGTTGAGAGCACAGGAGTGCAAGGTAAGGATGCTGGGATGATGGGGCTGATCTGGTGGGGGTGCAGACCCTGTGGGACTGGGGGTGCAGACCCCATGGGATGCAGACCCTGAGGGTGTGGAGACCTTGAGGAATTGGAAACCTCATGGGGGTGGAGACCCAGGGGTAGGAGTGTAGAGCCCACAGAGGTGCAGACATCCTCCTGGTGCAAATCATGTGAGCCTTGCAGAAAATGCAAGAATCTGACTGAGGGGGGTGGTGGGGACAGGTAGGGAGAAGGTGGTGGGGTTAGGACATTGGGGAGGGTATGTGCTATGGTGAGTGCTGTGAAGTGTGTAAATGTGACGATTCACAGACCTGTACCCTGGGGCTAATAATACATTATATGTATAAAAAAAAAGAAAAAAATTATAAAAGAAAAGATAGAAAGCTCAAAAAAAAAAAAAAAGAAAATGCAAGAATCTGGAAGCCTTTGAGGAGAGCAGAGATATGACTGAACTTTCCTTTCAGTAGGATCCCCACGGCTGTTCTGCTCAGGAGCAGCCAGAGTCGTCCACGATGGCAAGACAGGGATTCGGAGGGTACTGCTGGTGCCCCAGGTGGGACACGATGCTGGCTCCAACCACGGAGAGTGGGGGCTTTATTTTTGGATATAGAATGATGATAGAACAAACAGGATTTTGGGGGCACCTGGGTGGCTCAGTGGTTAAAGCCTCTGCCTTTGACTCAGGTCATGATCTCAGGGTCCCGGGATCGAGCTCTACATCAGGCTCTCTGCTCAGCAGGGAGCCTGCTTCTCCCTCTCTCTCTTTCTGCCTGTGTCTCTGCCTACTTGTGATCTCTCTCTGTCAAATAAATAAATAAAAATCTTAAAAAACAAAACAACAACAAAACAAAACACCCCCCCCCCAGGATTTCTAAATGATTCGGGGGAGGTAGGGGTAAAAAGAGGAGCAAGTATGAAGACCAGTGTCTTCTCTGAGCATCTGGCAGGATGGGGTCAAAGACTTTAGAGATTTTCATTCTGAGAATGTCAGGGATGGAGCAGGCTATGACTGTCTGGAATCAGCAGAGGGGTCCTTCCAGGCAGAGATGACAAATCCCGCAGCTCCTGGAAGGACATAATCAATAGGGAGGAAAGGGACTGATTGTACATAGAGAAAATGAGGCACTTGGAGACAAGTTTGTCACTGGGGACCAAATAATGGCATATTTGACATAAGGGGCAGGAAAGGGGTGAAGATGTGGTTGGAGGAAGTTCAGGAAAGTCAGATGAGGGGAGATGGAAGAAGGGGTACAGACAACCCTGTGAGGACTTTGCTGCAAAGAGGAGCAGAGCAAGGCTCCAGAGAAGGAGAGCTTCTGCCTTTTCTGCCTTCCCCCTGGAGGGAGCATCTCTGATTACCTGTCTGTATTAACTTCCTCGGGCCCCAGTATCAAATGCCACACTCTTGGGATCTTAAGACAAAAGAAATGTAAGCTCTCACAGGGAGGTCAGAAAGCTGTGATATGAAGGACATACGTTGTTTCCCTCTGCCCTGCTGAGATCTCCCTGGGACTCTGTAACACAGGACAGGTGAACCAGAGGAAAGTGTACAAATGTATTTCATATGAGGTTTATGTGGCACAGGAGCCTTCATAAAGAAGTGAAGACCCCAATAAATGGCTAAACCTGAGGGGTTGTTGCTAGATTTACCGAAGAGTAGAAAGTTGGAGCCACACCTGGGAGAACAAACGGTTTGAGCTGTGGGTGGTAACTGAAGTGGCTTGAAGAAACCTGCTTGCCGGATCCATCCCTCTGTCCATCTGTCATCAGACTTGTGATGTTCCTTTCCTCTGGGTAGAGGGAGGGAAAAGTCACAAAGTCCTTCCTCCACCTGCCAGTTCTCAAATTCCTTCCTCCTGAAAGGGTCAGGAAGCCAAGGTCACACATTTTGGGAGCCATGTCCTGAACCCCAGAATCCCAAATCAGGGTTGCTGCACAGAAATCAAGAGTGGTTGAGCTCCACGTTTTCCAGAGGCTCAAGGAGAGAATCCTTCTCCTGCTTCTTGGGGGGTGATGGTGGCTGCCAGTATGCCTTAACCTGGGGAGTCACTGCTCCACTCTGGGTCTCTGTGGTCATGTTCCCTCATGCTGCTCTGTGTGCAGAAAGTCACCCTCTGTTTCCCCTTTAGAAGGACACTCTGATAGAGTTAGGACCCAACCCAGATAATCTACAATGATCTCCACAGTCCAGATCCCTAACTTCATCCCATCTGCCAAGACCTTATTTCCTGTAAGGTAACATCTAGTTTCCACGGATTAAGACCTGGGTATGTTTGGGGTCATTATTTAGCCCACTGCATGGCCCAAAGGATTTTCCCCACCCCCAAATGTCCCCATACAGCCCCCTGACCTTCTTTACTCTGTTCTTCCATGTCCTGAGGCCCTGGTGGGCCACCTCAGGCATAACAGAGGACTTGGGGAAGAGGGACCTGC